GTTCTGCAGACAGGAGCCCTCAGACACCATCATGCTTCCAGCCACTGACACTGGCACGGAGATAATCTACGTGACAGCCGATGCTGCTGACTGTGCACTTTAAAACCCACCCCATGGTGTTGCGGTGCAGTGGGTTGAGCCACTGCTTGGGTCGTCTGCCTCTCCTGTTATAGTGCCTAAGATGGAGTCCTGGCTCTACCTTCTGATGCAGCTCCCTGCTAATGTGCATCCTGGGAGGCAGAGGATGGTGGCTCAAGTATTTGGCAGTCCCTGCACTCACGTGGGAGACCTGGAGGGACTTCCTGGCTCCTGGCTTCAGCCTGGCCCAGGCTCAGCTGTTAAGGGTGTTTGGGGCGTGAACAAGTGGACAGAAGATCTGTCTCTCTCCCTAAGTAGCTCAACTTCTCAAACAAAATAAAAATACATAGATCAACATTTAAAAAAAAATCCCAGCCCGGTCCCTCCTGCTCACTGCTCCTTCAGCCGCACCGTGTCTAGCCTCTCTGGCTGGCTGGCCCCAGTGTTGTTGCCAACAGACCAGAGCCAATTTGAGCACATACAGCTCTTCAGTTCCTTTTGGTAGGCACTGGTTACAACCAGTGAGCTGGGGAGAGGCGAGCTCTGGCTGCTGGCCCACAGCCTCGCTTCCACGGTGTAATGCAGGGGTTCTTGCACTGGAATCTCTGACAGCCGTCTTTCCTTTTATTAAACGCCAACTGAAATGTAGCATTTTCGATAATCACAGACATAGGCGACACACTGCTATAGTAATAACAACGTCTGTGACTTTTTCAGGGGGAGAAATCATGCGTATTTTTGTATCATGCTGTGGTTGTTGCAAAGATCTCAAAATAGCGTTGATATTGGTCATGAGAGCATAAATTATTGGAGCCGCCACTCGATGGTGTTATTTCACAACTTACGTTAATGAGAAAGTGTGTAGGGGTTTGCGGCACAACAAAGGTTGGAGCGTGAGCCGCAGGGCTGGGGACTATCCCCGACAGGGATGACTGCGCTCTGCCTCCCGGGGGAGCAGAAGGCTGGGGCCTTGATGATTGCTTTGTTCCCGTGGGGTTGGAGCCAAGCCCAGATCAGAGTTTCTGAGAAACACCTTAGTCCTGGCTCCAGAGAAGCCTGGGCCACTCTGTGTAGTGCTGGGGAGCCCGCTGGCTGGGCAACTCCTACGCACACACATTAGCCTGCTTTTTAGTACTACAGTGAAATGCTGGAGACAGGCTACTTTACAAAGAAAGGAGGTTCATCTTGGCTCACCATTCTGGGCTGCATTGGTGATGCTCTCCTTGCTGGCAAAGTCTCACAGCCAAGCAGCACATCACGCTGTGGGGAGACAGGCATGTGTGTGTGTGTGTGTGTGTGTGTGTGTGAGCTCTCTCTCCCTGTTTGCATGAAGCCACCAGGATTCGGTCATGGAGGTGCCAACTTATGACCTTAGTGATTCCTAATTACTCCTCAAAGCCTTACCTCTAAACACCACAGCTTCAGTTCCTGCCTTCTTCACGCCATTGCTGTGGCTTTGGGGACTAAACTCCAGCAGGAGCTTGGGACAGACCCCATTCCAGCCAGAGCCCCTCACCTCATCAGCAGTCTAGGTGTCTGCCTGTCACAGGGCACAGAGACATAATGAAAACAGATCTGTGAGCTGCTTGCTGTCTAACTCTGAGCCCTTGGCAGAGCCCATGTCCCCTGGCCCAGCCTCCGGGAATGCTCATGCCATCCCAGCCGCACTGTCCATGCCCTGGGACCCGGGCTACCTCCCACTTACACACGGCGCTCTCTCTCGCTCAGAAGTCGTCCTCTTGACTGATGCTTTCACTTATAAAACTTTTGTTGAGGTGAAATCCATGTCACACAAAATCATTCTATTTACTTATTTTTATTTTATTTGAAAGATGCGGGCAGAGAGAGAAGGAGAGCTTTCATCCACTGTTTCACCCCTCAAATGCCTGCAACAGTTGGAGGTGGGCCAGGCGGAAGCCAGGAGCTCAGAACTCAATCTGGGTCTCCTACATGGGTAGGGGAGATCCACGTGCTTGAGCTGTCACCTGCCACCTCCCAGGGTGTCCACCAGCAAGATGCTGGGTCGCAAGCAGAGCCAGGACTCAAACTAGGCATTCTGACATGTGATGAATACATTCTAAGCTGTGTTTAAGATTTTATTTATTTGAGCAGTAGAGTTACAGTGAGAGAGAGTGACAGAGAGAAAGGTCTTCCTTCCGTTGGATCACTCCCCAAATGGCAGCAACAGCCGGAGCTGCTCCTGCATCGAAGCCAGGAGCCAGGTGCTTCTTCCCCGTCTCCCACATAGGCGCAGGAGTCCAAGCACTTGGGCCATCCTCCACTGCACTCCCAGGACATAGCAGAGAGCTGGACTGGAAGAGGAGCAGCCAGGACTATAACCGGCGCCCATATGGGATGCCAGCGCCACAGGCAGAGGATTAACCTACTGTGTCACGTTGCCAGCCTGCTAAGCCATGTCTCAACTACTTTACCAAACTGCTGGCCAGCCATTCTAAAGTGAGCACGTCCGTGACATTCTGTCCAGTCACCATTTTATGCAGCCACCATCTCTATCTAGTTCTAGAACATTTCTCTCATCCAAAAATACAACTTCCAAGTAGCTGTTCCCCATTCAATATTCTTAGCCCCTAAAAGCCACCAAAGTGCCTTCTCTTCCTCTAGATTTTCATATTCTGAATATTTCATGTCAACAGGATTATACGGTGTATGACCTTTGTGTCTAGCTCCTTTCATTATCCTAATCTGTTCCAGGTCCATCCAAGTGGTAGCATGTCTCAGCACTTCATTCCTTCTTATGGTTGAGTAATATCCCATTGGAAATACCATTCACTTACAGACATTTGAGCTGTCTCTGCTTTTTGTTCTTGTGAATAGTGCTGCAACAACTATGCATGTACAAAGATCTGTGTGAGCATATTTTCAGCTCTTTTAAATATATATGTAGGAGTAGATTTGCTGAAAGTGAAATTACTATTTTTAAAAATTGTTTTTATTTATTTGAGGAAGAAGATCCCCCAGTTCATTGCCCCAGTGCCTGGATTAGCAGCAGCGAGGCTGGGCCAAGCCAAAGCTTGGGAGCTGGTAACTCAATCCTGGTCTCTCCCATGAAGGTTGCCGGGACCCATCCCCCACTGCCTCTTAGGGTGCATGTTAACAGGAAGCTGGGATCAGACATGCAGCTGGGGCTCCAACATAGGATGTAGGCATCTTAACTGCTATAGCAAATGCCCACCCTAGTAATTCTATGTTTAACTCAGAGGACTGCCGATCTGCCTTCCACAGCAGCCAAAACAATTTACATTCACACCAGCGACCCATGAGGAAGCCAGCTTGTTCACAGCCTTGTTAGTACCTGTTATCCGAAGCTTTACTTGGGGGAAGGTATTTTTCTACTTTATATTTATTTTGTGGTTATTATTTTAAAGCTTTTTATTTATCTGAAAGGCAGAGAAACACACCTAAGAGAGAGAGAGAGAAAGAGCGTGCGTGCGCACGCGAGAGAGATCAATCTTCCATCTCCTGGTTTCCTCTTTAAATGCCTGTAATAGCCGGGGCTGGTTAGGCTGAAGCCAGGAGCCTGGAACTCCACCCAGGTCTCCCAAGGGGTGGCAAGGACCCAAGCACTTGAACCATTATCTGCAGCCTCCCAGGGTGCACAATAGTAGAAAGCTGGCTTGAAAGCGGAGGCAGGACTTGATCTCAGGCACGCTGATATGTGATGTGGGTGTTCTAAGGAGGCCTAGCCTGCTGAGTCACAAAGCCTGCCCCAGTAAACAAAAAGCAAAAAGTAGTTTAATCCTCTCAGCAGAAGGGGCCAGTGCTGTGGTGTAGCAGGTAAAGCTGCCACCTGCAGTGTCGGCATCCCATATGGGCGCCGGTTTGTGTCCTGGCTGCCCCTCTTCCAATCCAGCTCTCTGCTGTGGGCTGGGAAAGAAGTGGAAGATGGCCAAAGTCCTTAGGCCCCTGCACCCACGTGGGAGACCCGGAAGAAGCTCCTGGCTCCTGGCTTCAGATCAGGGCAGCTCTGGCGTTTGTCTTCCAACCAGTGGAAGACCGCTCTCTCTCGCTCCCTCTTTCTCTCTCTCTCTCTGCGTCCCTGTATAACTCTGACTTTCAAATAAATAAATAATCTTTTAAAAAAATCTCAATCAGAAAACAGATAAGGCAGAGTCTTTTTGGCGAGCGGAAAGCTGGCTTAGTTATTGTAACTAATTAAAAAGGATTTGATAGGATTCTCTCGGTGATTTAATTATTTCACTTGCAACAATTTTTCCCAAAGCTTTGCTTCTTTTAACCCGTCAATAACTTCCTTTTGTGCCTACCCGACTCCTCCACACTCATACCTAAGCCATCCCTGCTGGGTAGCTCCCATCACGCCATATTGCAATTCTCTGTCTACTCGTCCTTCTTCACGGCCCGTCCTGGCAATTCCAGACTGGGGTTGCTTGTGGGCATCACAGAAGTAATAGGAGCCACTTGGGTGGGCAGTGGGTGTGTCTTTTGCAGACGTGAGTTAATCAGAGGGCACAAGGGCTCCCCCTTGTGGTGAGCAGGAATAAGTCCACACGTGCCTGCTCTCACCTTCCCTGGCGGTGGCACCAGTCTCACACACAGTATTGACTTCACAGGGATGAAACAAAGACAAATAAGACAGCAGATGGGCACCATGCTGAGCTCTTCAGAGAAAAGAGATTGTAAATCCAAGTCTTTTTTTTATTGAAGAAACAAGAAAAATGACTCCAAAGTGCTTTCACTTTAACGTGCCTGCAAAAAAAAAAAAAAAAAAAAAAAAAAAAAAAGAGTCAGTCCAGAACATGGAAAAGGCATTTGAATGAATCATGCAATAACCCTAAGGCTCCTGGGTAAAAGCTGTGACCCTGGGGTGCTAAACTGCAGCTCAGCGAGGCCGTGTATATGTGCATCTGTGCGTCTAAGCCCCTTCTCCTCCTTGTGGGCTCTAGGGTGTGAATTCTTCCACCTTCTGCCCATGTAAGACCATTAGCTCACATCTCAGCAGAAGTGCCAAGAAGGTGCCAGACCTCAGCGAGACACGGCCAAGTCAAAGCTCACCCTCTCCGTGTCTGCCTGGGTTAGGACGCTACTGGGCACGGTGGGAGAAAGACGTCTCAAGGAGCAGAAAATTGTTCCCAGGCACCCACGAAAGCGATGGGCAAGAGCGGTGGGGTGCTGTTTATGGAGGTTTTTCGTGGTCAGTTGGGTCCCATCCTCAGGTAAGAGCTAAATCCGTGTCTGTTGTGTTGGCTGGGTTTGGGCTCTCATCACACTGCTTTTTCCAGTACTAACAGAAAGGCAGTAGATTAGGGCGGAGGGAAGCGTTGACTGCGAGATTCTCTCAATCGAAGTCTTTCACTATAAAAAACAAAGCAGGAAGAACGCGCTCTCCGCAAGGGAGAGGCAGCCCAGGAGGGGAGAGGGGTGGGGGATTGGCAGCGAGAGGCTTGGGTCTGAGTCTCAGATCTGTCCGAGTCTCGGCCCCTCGGGCTGCTCCTCGAGGTCTGTCTCGTCTGCCCGTCCTCATTGCCTACCCACTGGGAAACTGAAAGAATTAAATCCAGAGGAGCTTCAGTGGCCGATTACCTTGTGTTAGGCTCACAGGCTCCATCCCTGAGCGCGAAGGTGGTCTCCATTCCTGAGCCAACATGCACCGTTACTAAGATTTCCTGCTGTTCTTATATTGAGTGTGAGTGTTGGCACTCCGACAAGGTTGCTTCCACGTTTGGGTGTCGGGCCCTGAAAACCCAAGCCCGAGCCTCAGTGTTGAGCACATTTACGTCTGTGTGGCTTGGGCAGGTGGGGTCGCGAGATCCGACCGACGTCGGCCCAGCTCGAGGAAAGCCCAGTCTGCTCCTCGCCACCTCGGGTCCCTCGTGCTGCTCATGGCCGCCCTCCTCCCGGGCTCCTGCACTACGCCCCCCGATACAGCGCTCGGTGCCTTCTAGTGGCGCCCTAAGCTGTTCCTCTCTAGTGTGTGGGCCACGGAGACCAACACGAAGGCTGGATAGGGCGCCGGTGCAGGTGGGGCCGCCCCGGCAGAGCGCATGCGTGGAGGTGTAGGCGGACTTCGTGCAAGCGACCTTTCTCTTTTGTGTTTCTCAATAAGCAATAAAAACCAACAAAAACCTCAAACTAAGCTCTTCTTCTGCTCGAGGCAGACCATCCTATACACGTCGGTCCCAGCGTCTGAGAAATATTTTCCCATCAGCAGCAGCTGCCTTTCCCGGGAAGAATCCCGGTGGTGGCTTTCCTCCAACCCGGCACCCTTGCTTTGGGAACCCATCCAAGCCTGGACGCTCAATGTTGGGAAGCCACAAGAAAACCTGCCAGCATTTGTGAGCAGCTCAGATGTCCATTTTAACACCCATGACCTATATTTGGTATTGCAATACAATTCGAAGGCAGGTGGTCTTTCACCATTTCAGTTAAAAAAAATTTTTTTTTTATTTTTATTTTTTATCTAAGTGTTCCCAGGCCTTCTCTGCTTGTCTCCCAGTCTCTGCCTATAGCTCCCGCGGCTGTCTGCCCAAACGGCCATCTGGCTTCCTACAGATGACCAGTAGAGGGCGCCTGATTTCCAGCTCACAAGGCCTTCCCAGCAGCCAATTCCTGGGGCTCTGCGGCGGAAAGGACAGTTTTTGTTTGTTTGTTTGTTTGTTTGTTTGTTTTCCCTCAGGAACAGGAGGGAAGCAGTTGAAACTCCCTGGATGCAGCTCAGCCATTTCCTGCAGCATTCGTCTGTGAAATGTTGGCAGCGGGAAGCCGGCATTCTGGCAGGGTGAGGGTGCGGGGGAAGGACTGTATTCTTGGTTACTGTGTCTCTTTCCCACCTAGGGGAGGCGAAAGGCGAAAGGGCGGGAGAGCTGCCCAAGTGAGCTTTGTTCTTTCCAAGAGTGCTAACGAGGATATACTCATAGGCTACGCGTGTCTGTCCACGCCTCACGGTATAGAGAAAATACTGTGCTTCACGTCCCATACCCAGGCTTCCTGCCAAGACGGTGAACTAACCGCGAGCCGCTGGCTCCCTCTCTCCAGTCTGCCCTGGGGAAGATGGAGCAGTAACTCGCCAGGAGGGAGGGAGGGGGTGTCCTTGGACAGTCCCTTGGGCTCTGATCTCAGATGAGGAGGGGATGGCAGGTGCTACATCCTGCTCTGGCGGAGTGGATGGAAAAGGTGCTGCCATTGAGAGATCAATAGGAGGACAGGGTGGGTGTTTGGTGCAGTGCTATGACGCTGTTTGGGACTCCCGCGTCCCATGTGGGAGTCCCCAGGTTTGAGTCTCAGCACCACTTCTGATCCCGGTTTCCAGCTGATGCACACCCTGGGGGCAGCCGGTGGGTGACTCAAGTCCCTGGTCCCTACCACCCACGTGGGAGATCTGATTTGCATCGTCCTAGGCTCCTGGCTTCAGCCTGGCCCCACCCGGCTGTTGTGGGCATTTGTAAAGTGAACCAGTAGATGGAAGATCTCTATCTGCCCGTTTCTGTCTCTCTCTTTCAAATAAAAGGAAAATAAATATTTTTTAAAGTGAATATTTTTTAAAGTATTGGTGAAAAGTTAGGAGTGAGCAGGATAAGGCAAAAATTAGATTGCTCAGCTTTTATACTAGCAAGTGAAAATCCACTGGAAAGTAAACAAAAAATTCCTGTACTAAGAACGAAAAGTCTGAACGAAGTCCTCAGGAAACGATAATTAAATATTGCTCAGCTTCATCACTTGCCGACGCCGTGACCTTGGGTGGGGCACATGAGCTTCTTTGAGTTTTAGTTTCCTCCTCGCTGCTGTGGTCATGGGGGTGCGAGGATCAGACCCCAACGCAAGCACGTGGAGCCCGCCCACTCTGTCTGCGGTGGACGGTCAGCCCATCTGCTCCAATCACGGAAACCTAGCGCTTTCCCAGGGGCTGGTTCGGGGCGGGGCATGTGACCCACCTCGGTTCCAGGGGACGTGAGGGAAGGCCTGGCAGGGTGATTTCTGGGAAATTGTTCCAGGAAAATCCCAGAGTTGCAGGAGAGGAGAACGCCCAGGCCGGTCTCCAGCTGGGTGGAATGGCTGCCCTCTCACAGCCGTGATAAGAGAGGCAGGGGACGGCGTGTCAGCCTGCTGGGGCGGCCAGAGCCGAGGTGTGGAAAGACCCTGAGTCCTTGACGACTCTGCCAAGACGCTGCCGAGACCAGCCCAGGAAGCTTCCCCCTCCGGGCTTCCCGTGATGAGCTCATTCCTGTTCCTGGCATTACCTGTGTAGCGACAAGAGCTTCCTCTAGCGATAACGCCGTTTGCCTTGCGTGTTGATTCAGGCCAACTTGTCTGCCACTTAAAGTGAACAACCCCAGGAAATGTTTTTGAAGGAGTGAGTGTTAAGTCGCTAGGGGGGCCGAGAACTTCTGGTTCCTTCTCCAAACGCCGGCAGCATGTGGGACTGGGATGGAACCTGGAACTCCATCCAGGGCTCCCCACATGGGTGTCAGGGACTCAAGTCCTTAAGCCATCACCACGGGCTGCCCCCAGCATGAATGTCTGCAGCAAGTTGCCATTAGAAGCCACGTTAGACTCAAACCCAGGCACTCCAATGTGGAATGCAGGGGTCTCAAACGGCAGCTTCCCTTGTGTGACAAATGCCCACCCTCCAGAGCGATGTTGTTCTTTAAGATGTGGGGTGTGAAATCAGTCTACTGACTTAGAGCCAGCACGCATGGCAGAATAAAACCTTGCGTGGATCCGTCAGTGGTAATTACTACATCCAAGGTCCTGGCTTGAAGGTCTTGAGTAGTCGCTATTAACTCTATTGCTTCTGGGGCTGGTACTGTCGTAATCCTCGTTCCACAGATGCGGAAACTAAAGCAGCTGCCCAAAGTCATGGTTATGGGTCGAATTGGGTTGTTCCTCCAAAAAGGATACATTGCAACCCTATAGGTACTGTCATTTGGAAGCAGGGTGGTGGCAGATGTTGAAGACAGGCCACACTGGGGAGGGGACTCCAATCCAGTATGACTGTGCTCGTGTAAGAAGTGGCCACGTGGAAGGAGAGATACAGGGAGAACGTTACCTGGAGAGGGAGGCAGAGACAGGGTCATCTCAGCAAGCATTGCCTGGAATCAACACGCCTGCTGAGTGGTTGTTGAATGCATATGGAAGGGAATACAGTGAGGAATATGAATGACAGTCAGACAGTGGTCATGTTTAGCGTTCTTTCTCTTTCTCCCCTCTGCCTGGCTGCAGAACCAAGCCCTTCCCACGGGCCCCTGGCTGTGCCCCTCCCCCAGGGTCCCCATCCACCCCTGTGGCTCCACCGTTCCACACCTGCCTCTCCTGTTCATTACACACCAGAGGAACAGGCTGCTGGTGGCAAGTCATGTGGCCTCTGCTGAATCATGTCCCTTCCATCCACCAACGAGCTGAACACTATTTACAGCGCGTGGCAGCTGCAGGGGCGCGGGTGACATTTGTGGATGCCCGAGCCTGCTCCATGGCAAGGGATGATAGCAGCGTACACACATCCTCACCTGCCGAGTCTCAGTGCCGCCGCAGAGTGACTGACAGAATTAACCACAGGGCGTCCAAGGGGGATTTATGGCCCGATATAAGGAAATGTAAATTTCATTCTGATTCAAATCATTCCTTTTTGTTGTTATTTTTTATATTTGAGAGGCAGGGAGAGAGAGAGAGACAGAGAGACAGAGAGAGAGAGAGAGAGAGAGAGAGAATGAGCACACTCCTGCCTGCTGGTTTACTTCCCAGTTGCCCAAAATGGCTGGGGCTGGCCTGTGGCTAAAGCCAGAAGCCGGGAACTCAACCCAAGACTCTGTGGGTGGCAAGAACCCAATTGCTTGGGCCATCACGACTACCTCTCAGGCTGTGCATTAGCAGGAAGTTGGAGTCATGAGCGGAGCAGGGAAATGAACGCAGGCACTCCGACCTGGGATGTGGGCATCTACCCACTTGGCTAAATGCTTGCTTCCTCATTCAAACCATTCCTATGCTGCCATCAATGTGCGCCCCCTAGTGTCAGGATTAGGAAATGGACTCAGCAGAGGTAGGTCCCTGGCCTGGCCAGCTCTGAGCTGCTCAGGAAGTGAGAGCGGTCACTCACTGTCCGGCCTGCAGAAATGCAGGAGCCACCCCTGCCTCCTTGTGGCGGGGCGGGTCCCAGGAGGGGTCCCTCTACTGACCACACAGGGACACGACCAGCAGACAATTCCAACAGGAAGACGGGATCGCCCCCAAGTTGAACCTTTTCTGGTAAATATAACAGACTCGGAAAACACATCAAAGGGATGCGTCATGTTATAAAGCGTAAATAGAGTGAAAACTCCTGTCACAAACAGGTGTTGGAAGAAAGGACTCTGCCAGTCCCTAGGAGTCCTCCATGGCCCTGTCAAGCCCTCCCCGCTGCCCTCCCTGCACAGTATCAATCAGATCCAGAGCTGTTCCATCTTTATATTGTTTTCCTTTTTTTTCAGGGCAAAAAAGGCAGAGTTGTGGTGCCATCCAAGCGATGGCCTCTAACTGCATCTGGAAGACGGCAGCGTCCAGGTCTCCTTTGGTGCAAACACGGGACGGTGCGAGGAAGCACAGCCTCGACAGGGAGATTCCGGCTGGGGTTTGTGGGTGTCCCCTTCTTTCTTGTGGGGATGCATCCTGCCCGGAGGCGGTACACAGATCTTGGTGAGCGTTGCTTCAAGAAAATGGACAGTAGTCACAGCTCATTAAAACCCCATCTGCTTCCTCTAAGTCAGAATGCTGGGTCAGGGGTCTCAGCACCACCTCCAGGACGCTCTCCCCTCCTGGGCCTCCTTGTGCAACCTTGCAACTTGCAAAGGCCTTGCAAAGGGCCTTCTTCTTCTCCCAGGTCAGTGGCTGTTACACCAAACCATGCCTGCCCCCAAACTGTGTGGGAGAAGAAAACATACCTAATCCTATTTTGAATAACAGTGGAAAGGATACAGGGCCCGGATTTCTGGTTGTGGTGTTCATTATTGAAACAAGAAAGGGAGCGGCTGGGTGGGTGTGGAAAGTGTTCCTGGGACTTTGGACTTGAGTCACACAGGCGGAGAGCGTACATCTCTGGGGATATAGGGTGTGGAGAGGAAATACGGCTTAATAGAGGAAATTATTCATCCATGGGCAGGCACTTAGGAATGAAGACCCGGAAACACTGAAATACAATATCGTGCAAGTATTGGCATTAACTTCCTCTGCATGGAACAGAAAACCCAGTCAACAGTGGTGTGAATACAATAAGGGCTAAATTATCTTTGAAGGTGTACAGTCCACAGCAGGTGTGTTTGTTCCATGGTGATTAGGATCCCAGAATTCTGAGAGGTCGTCATCCTTAGCAAGTAAAGTAATACCTTCAAGGACAACTCATGCCCCAAAGTGGCTGCAGAAACTCCAGCCACCACCTCCAAGTTTTAGGCAGGAGGAAGCAGGAAAAGGCCTGGCAGCAGGGTAGCCTTTTAGGTGTCCTTCTCAGAAGCCACACCTGACAACCTCTGCTTCACTGAACATGGCTGGCTGAAAGGGAGGCTGGGAAATTGTGTGTGCTCCCTGGAATAAGGCAGATTCTTTTGAAGGGCAGCCAGAGAGAATGAGTTTGGCGAGATAGGGAAACTAGTGATGTCTTTTGCATGTGCTAGGAGGTGGGAAACCCTCACGGTGAAGCATGGAGCCTCCACGGCCAGGTTCCTGGGCAAACCCGAGTGTGGATCCGAGCCCTCTCACTACAGCTGCGTGACCCGTGGCAAGACACCGACCATTTCTTTCTTTCTTTCCTTCCTTCCTTCCTTCCTTCCTTCCTTCCTTCCTTCCTTGTTCCTTCCTTCCTTCCTTCCTTCCTTCCTTCCTTCCTTCCTTCCTTCCTTCCTTCCTTCCGTTCTTGATTTATTTATTTTATTTGAAAGAGTTACAGAGAGGGATAAGGAGAGGCAGACAGAGAGAGAGAGAGAGAGAGAGAGCGAGCTTCTATTTGCTGGTTTACTCCCCAAATGGCCGTAGCAGGGTTCATCCGAAGCCAGGAGCCAGGAGCTTCTTCTGGGTCTCCCACGTGGGTGCAGGGGCCCAAGTACGTGGGCCATCTTCAGCTGCTTTCTCAGGTACATTAGCAGGGAGCTGGGTCAGAAGTGGAGCAGCCAGGACTCGAATCAGCATGCATACGGGATGCCAATGCTACAAGTGGCAGCTTTACCCGCTACGCCACAGCACCGGCCCTGACACCTACCATTTGTAATAGTTCTGAGAGTTGTGGAACCCTTGGTTCTCGAATGCTTCCTGCCATGTTTGGTGGGCTGACCGCAGCCCAGGCACCAGCCAGTGCCATCGTTCTGATTGAAGGAGCTGGGAGGGCAAAATTCTGATGGGCTTTATTCTTGCACGAGGGACAATGCTCTATGCAAATAAACGCGCCCTCCACCAAGCAGGATGGCGCGCTCCCACGTCTGTGCTGGCGGCCCCTGGAGGTGAGAGTCCCACAGAACTAAGTGCGATGGGACATGGTACATCTGAAGCAGGCGAATTCTTCAGTTGATCACTTGTTCGGCCCGCAAATGGTGAGTAGCCAGGCGGCACCTGCAGAACAAAGGATTGCTCCCCATCCCCTCCCACCCCCATCCCCGCTTAGATTTTCAGCCTCTGCCTCTCTGGAAAGGTCTTTGGTTCCACCTTTCAGAGGCCTTGGCCTTGGCCTCTCCTGGGACCAGGGACCCGTCATCTTTAGTGTGCACGTCCCAAGTGTGTCATTTGTCCCACACAGCACTCCAGGATGAAATACGTGGGAAAAAACACTGTCATATTTCTCGCTCCACTGCGGGACATCTAGGTGCACATTAGCGCGGAGAAGCCCTGCAAGGGAATCCATCTGTATCAGGCGGCCCGGCTTTCCTTCCTTACTGTGAAAGCTTGGCCGAGAGGCCAGCTGTAGGAGCCTGCACCCTGCACATTTCTTTCTTTCCTTCCTTCCTTCCCATCCTTCCTCTGAAAGGCAAAGTTACAGAGAGGCAGAGGCAGAAAGAGAGGTCTTCCATCCACTGGTTCACTCCCCAGATGTCCACAATGGCTGGAGCTGTGCCTGTCTGAAGCCAGGAGCCAGGAGCCTCCTCTGGGTCTCTCACATGGGTGTAGGGGTCCAAGCACTTGGGCCATCTTCTACTGCTTTCCCAGTAGAGAGCTGGATCGGAAGTGGAGCAGCCGGGACTTGAACCGGTGCCCATGTGGGATGCCAGCGCTTCAGGCGGTGGTTTTACCTGCTACGCCAAAGCTCCAGCCCCGCAGTGTTCCTCCAGTTCCCAGTCACATACGCTTCTCCTTGTTCCAATGAGAACTTCTTCCGAGTCCCTCTTTCCAGACATGGGGTCTGAATCTCACCCGCCAATCTGCCGTCTCCTTCATGGTCCTGAAACTGACCAGCGAGGCAGCCTTCCCTGGGGCTGCTGCACAGGCTCCCTACTTTCTGTGACCCCTCTTGAGTTCCAGATGAGCTCCCGTCTTTGAAAAGTGCCCGATAAGTGGTTAAATGCTGTGCAGATGTGCGTTGTTACTCACGCTGACTCGCTCCAGTGCCCCAGTGCTCTTCTCCCCCAGGAAGTGGCTTTTTTTAAGAATGTGACAGTTTCATAAAATAAAAGTAACCAAAACCTCCACACACGGAAGAGCCGTTTCTGCAAGAGGACCCTTCTGTTGGTGCAAGAGGAGGATGACCGTCAGGTACACAGTTCTCTGGGGAATGCAGGAGGAAGGAAGTGTGGACATTGCTCCCTTTGGAATCTCCAGGTTAGACCCAGATGCCCAAACCCAGAAACCACGGCACCAACATGTCCAGGCACAGTGGGCTCCCTCCTGCCTGTCTGGCCGCAAAGCCCCAGGGGCAGATGATCTCGAGAGACTCACAGCTCTGCAAGGGCAGCCCCTCTCTGTCGTATTTTACAGGGACAACTTCCCTTCCATTGCTTTCAGACTGGGCCAGCAAAGTCCAGTCCCGCCCTGACCCGCCCAGGCCCCGACAATGGCCTTCTTCCCTGTCTGCTTTGAGAGACCTGAGCTGCGCTCCCCCTGCCGCTGCACCTCTGCCGTTTTCAGAGGCTGGGGTTGGGGGTGGGCATGGGCATGGCTGACGTCCGTTCTGCGGACTCCTTGCCCAGTTCTCCTCCAGAGAAAACAGCCGAGAAAGCCAGGCCTGTCAGCTGCAGCTCAAAATATTTGGCTAAGTGCAGTGTGTAGGGAGTGCCTGATTCTGTAGGGAGTGCCTGATTCTGTTTATCTGTGGTACCCACAGCAGGCCGAGTCACAGGGTCAGAAAATAGCACAGAGGCCACCAGCCACTGAGTGAGGGCAGAATGAGGAGTTAGTATTAAATGGGGAGGAGTTTTTGTTTGGGATGAACAGAAAGTTGTGTGTTTTTTTTTGTTTGTTTGTTTTGTTTTTTGACAGGCAGAGTGGACAGTGAGAGAGAGAGACAGAGAGAAAGGTCTTCCTTTGCCGTTGGTTCACCCTCCAATGGCCGGCGTGGCCGGCGTGGCCGGCGTGGCCGGCGTGCTGCAGCCGGTGCACCGCGCTGATCCGATGGCAGCAGCCAGGTACTTCTCCTGGTCTCCCATGGGGTGCAGGGCCCAAGCACTTGGGCCATCCTCCACTGCACTCCCTGGTCACAGCAGAGAGCTGGCCTGGAAGAGGGGCAACCGGGACAGAATCTGGTGCCCCGACTGGGACTAGAATCCGGTGTGCCGGCGCTGCAAGGCGGAGGATTAGCCTAGTGAGCCGCAGCGCCAGCCAGAAAGTTCTTAGAACTGTGAGTGCGTGGGGGCCAGCGCCACAGCACAGCAGGTAAAGCTGCCACCTGCGGCTCTGGCATCCCATATGCACGCCAGTTCGAGTCCTGGCTGCTCCACTTCTGATCCAACTCTCTGCTAGTGCACCTAGGAAAGCAGCAGAAGATAGCCCAAGTGCTTGGGCCCCTGCACCTATGTGGGAGACCTGGAAGAAGCTCCTGGCTCCTGGCTTTGGCCTGGCCCAGCCCTGACTGTTGTGGCCATCTGGGGAGTGAACCAGTCAATGGATGATCTCTCTCTCTCTCTCTCTCTCTCTCTCTCTCTGCTTCTGCCTCTGCCTCTCCTTCACTGCAAGTGACTTTCAAACAAACAAGTACATCCTTAAAAAAAGAATTGTGAGTGTGAACATCGTTGAACTGCACACTTGAAACTGGTCATAACGGTACACTGTGTCATGCCTATTTTATCACAATATAATTAACAGGGACAAAAATAAAATACTTGGCATTGATTCCCCTAAAATAGCGCCATCCCTAGGGTCAGCTCCCAATCCACCGGCAGGGACGTGGGTGGGGCAGGAGGATAAGATGGACGGGATCTTGAGTGCTGGGCAAATGAACATCACACCGAAGTGCCGGGCAGGTGGCCACATGCATCTCCTGGCCCCTCAGAGCTTGTGTGGTTTGGGACAGAAGCCTGGTGTCTGCCTCATTTCATTGTCGTTAGATCTGAAAACAACCTGTATGATGCTGTGCCTTTGACAGCGGCTAGAAAGTGTTGGAAAGGCTTTGCGGTTCTGCAGGCCTCCCTGGGGCCGAAGCCTCTGTGGGAAGAGCGTTTGGGGCACAGAGGCCAGCCTGGGGAAGGCAGCAGAGTGAGGGTGACTCCTGAGATCCAGGAAAGACCAAAGCCTGTTGACAGCTGCAGGTGCTGCCGCAGGGAAGACAGAGGCCTCTAGGTGGCGCACAGACCGCAACAAACACCCCAGAAGGGGCAGCCAGTGCAGCAGCAAATGGAGCTTCACTGCTCAGTTCTGAAACCAGGGATTAAAAAAAAAAAAAAAAAAAAAAAAAAAAAAAAAGGCTACTCCCTAGCCCAGCTGAAAGATGAGCCCCAGGCCCTTTGGATTCGACTTAAAGAAGACAGAGCTTTGATCATCAGGATGACACAGGGGCTGAGGGCATCGCTTCCACACCCGGGCACGCCATAGGTTCATCACGGCGGCTTCCTGGCCAGGAGAGACCGGTCAAGTACGCCTGTAGGAGCGCTGAGCGCTCGTCACAGGAGCTATTGTTACTCCCGAGACAGCTGTGGTCTTTGCTGAACACCGAGGTAGAAGGGGCGATTCTCCAAGCTGCCAACCTTGCTAGCTAGCTCCCAGGGCCGGTTTCCTCCCCTCTTTTCCAGCCTGCATCATCTTGGCCAGTGCAGCAAGGAAGCAGGAGGCAGGGCCAGCTGGCTGCAAGGACGCCCTGGGCCACGCTATGACCCATCACCAGCGCCGCAGGGAGCCCAGCACAGCACTCACCCTCCGTGCCCACTTCATTCCAGGCTACCCCACCCAGCTACCAGGGCTCTGCCATCCCCCCCTCCAACCACCCACCCACCCACACACTGCACGCTCAACAAGTCTCGTGGGGATTCTGCGCCGACTGTACCGCTCAGCCAGTTGGTCACCCCGGCTCCAAGGGGCTCCACGCTCGACTCACGGCTGCGTCTCAGTCTTCAGGAAGAGAAAGGCTAATGCACACTGTGCTCTAGGGCAGCCACTAGCCACGTGTAGCTATTGAAATTAAAAGCATCTGAAATTAAAATTCAGCTCCTAAGTTCCAAGTGCTCAATAGCCCGCGTGAGCAGTGGCTACAGTATTGGAGAGCATAAAGAATTTTCCATCGTTGCAGAAAGTTCTAGACGACAGCCCTGCAGTATTTTGCATTTCTATGGGAATGGTATAAGGCCACTTGTTATGAAGGTAGCAAATAGTTAAAAGCAAATTAACGGGAAGCAATGAAAGCTCAGGC